AAAATTGGAGGAACAGTGTCTACTGAACTCATATTGCTTTCGCATCATCGTAAAGTCGAACAATAATTAAGTTGAACCATTACGTCAGGTGACACTGAAGGGGAACACAGCATACCACCTCAAAATATGCCACATTGGCATAGGACTGTTTTGAGCTCAAGGCAATTAGTTCTCTGTCCTTTCTGCCTAAATGCAGGACATAAATTAACTTTTGTAAAGGTGATATAAATTTCCAATTCTAAAGGTGTTCCCCTCTCCCTCACTGGGAAAAGGAGGGCTCTTACTGCTTAATGAATGTTACGACACAATTCACAGTAACATACACTTCCTAGTCACCTTCCCACAACCTACTGCTCTCTCAGAAGCTCCAAACCCCTTTTCCTTTGTCCAACTTCCTTCCCACACTTTATCAACCTGTGTCATGGGCCCCACATTCTAACTGCCTCCTCAAGTCACACTTCTTTGTGAACTCCTATGCATGTCTGTAATTTTTCTTCTTCTTGTTAATCTGTCTTTTGTCAGTTTAATTTGCAGGGCCCCAACTATTAAACCTAAGAGAGTAAAGAAGAAAGGTTTTCCTCCCATATGATACCAACATTCCTAGTAGCCACAGAGGAATGATAGGAAAAGGGGAAAAATTGGCAGAAGTGGCTACTTAGTCCAAATCCATTCCTCAGGAAACAGTACTGCAGTCCCAATTTATACTTCTCACTTGCCCACAGCTCTGAGGAGGAGGGCTAAAGTATTCAGCAAAGTCACATCTTCATCATAATGGCACAACATGATGCATTACATAAAAGCAGAATTCTATCTTGAAAAGAAGTCTCAATCAACAACTTTTCCAAATCTAGGATAACTCCTCCATTGCAAGGCAAGGTACACAATACTTTCTGTTGTTCCATATTCTACAGTGAGGTAGCCAAGAAAAAAATGACTTAGATATCAGCATACTACAATAAAACAGGCCATCTTCTGAAAGAGTTCTCAACTTCCATGATTATTTCTATTTCTTTAAATGATGGATTCAAAAGCAATTGCAGCAGTCTTGCTAACCAATAAAAATAACTAACTAGCTAAACAGCTAGTTGTTTTAAAAAGTGCTAAGTATCTATAAGCAACATAATTTAAAAATGGTTACACTGTAGCACCAGAAGCCTCAAGACAATTCTGGAAACTAAATAAAAAGGGCTGTTAGAGCTGTGACTTACAGTTCTTCTCTTCATGCTCTGTGGTCCTGGGACTCCAAGAGAAGAAGTCATGGCACCCTATGAGATTTATCTTGGTGAGGGAGGAAAGGGAACTCACCAAGTGCGTAAGTAGACAGAAATACCAGCAACTAGGGTATCTTTAGGCTCTCTGATTCTATTTACTGAGCTATTAAATTCAGATTTACATATTTCTAAAAATTCAGTTCCCCAGAAACAAACTTGAAAAAGTACTAAGCATGACAATTATGTAAAGTTTTGACTCTCAGTTAAAAGAATACTCAGTGCCTTCATTAGGAGAAAGGGAGGAACAGGTCTTTGGAACCATAAAGAGGGTCCATTTTGTAACTGAGGAGGCACCTAAGACACCGTGTCAGATGCCATAAAGAGAGAAAAAGAAATCAAGGTTCTTGTTCTCTTGGAAACTCTGAATTCAACCAACCAAAATAACCAAAACAGAGACTGTGACTTAAGTCCTATAAAGGTATGTATAAGTAACACGCTAAAAGAGGGAAGTAATTTAGATCGCAGGATGGGGCAGTGTACACAGGCTTCTTGGAAATGGCTTTTTAAGTCCTTTTTTTCTCTTTTAGGGAAAAAGGAGAGGAGAAAGGCTTAAGGACCACTGTGAATGAAGATGGGATAAATTCTGTGGCTTTATGAGACTAGAGCTGAGGATGGTGGCAATGGTGGGAGGCAAAACCAGAAAGACAGGAGAGGGGTGTCAGACTGTGGACTGGAAGCCTGGACTTTACCCAGCAATCAATGAAGAATGAGTTTTTAAGTGGAAACGGAGAGAATTCACTTTTGTGTGGCATTAGAGTGAAGGAGTTACACAGGCAGACGGATTAAGTAAGAGATTATTACACGGTCTAGCAGTAATCCCATCTTCAACTTGGGCGATGCAAGGGAGAATGGTCTGAGGCCATGGCTACAACCAACAGATTCAGTGTGGTGGGGAGAGAAGACAGATTTCCGTGAGAGTCCAAAGAGTTCTGACAGAATTTATTTTATTTTTCAGTCCTGGCAGTATGGGCTGGTAGAACAGCACGGACTTGGGGTATAGAGAGCTGGGTTTAAATTTCAGCTTCACCTCTTCAAGACTAAGCAAATCATTTAATATACCTAGGAGTGTTTATTCATCTACCTCAAGGGGTGGCCTGAACTGTTCACATAAATTATACATGTTAACACATGTAAAATGCCTGTCACACAGAAGGCACTCAGTAACACTGTTAGTCAAGCCCCCTCTCCCCACTCTTCCTCTCACCTCCCTAGCAAAAAATAAGTTGATAATCAGTAGAAGGCTCTCATGAGAAGGCAGACGTTTGAGGCCACAGGAATTTTCTTTCTTTTTTTTAATTAAGGTATCATTGATCTACTCTTACAAAGGTTTCACAAGAAAAACAGTGTGGTTATTACATTCACCCTTATTATCGAGTCTCCCCCACCCGTATCCTACTGCAGTCACTGTCCATCAGTGTAGTAAGAGGCCACAGAATCCCTATTTGTATTCTATGAGCTACACTGTCTTCCCTGTGACCCCCCACACACCATGCGCACCAATCATGATACCCCACAAACCCCTTCTCCCTCCCTCCCCACCTGCCACTCCCCACTCCTCCCCTTTGGTAACCATTAGTCCCTTCTTGGATTCTGTGAGTCTGCTGCTGTTTTGTTCCTTCAGTTTTGCTTCATTGTTAGACTCCACAAATGAGGGAAATCATTTGGTATTTGTCTTTCTCTGCCTGACTTATTTCACTGAGCATAATACTCTCTAGCTCCATCCATGTTGTTGCAAATGGTAGGATTTGTTTCTTTCTTATGGCTGAAGTATGTACTTCACTGTGTATATGTACCACATCTCCTTTATCCATTCATCTACTGACGGACACTTAGGTTGCTTCCATATCTTGGCTATTGTAAATAGAGCTCCACTAAACATAGGGGTGCATATGTCTTTCTGAATCTGAGTAGTTTTCTTTGGGTAAATTCCTAGGAGTGGAGTTTCTGCGTCAAATGATATTTCGAATTTTAGTTTTTTGAGGAACCTACATATTGCTTTCCACAATAGTTGAACTAGCTTACATTCCCACCAGCAGTGCAGGAGGGTTCCCCTTTCTCTGAATCCTAGCCAGCACTTGTTGTTCCTAGTCTTTTCTATGTCACAGCAATTTTCTGATTGGGAAAAGAGGTGAAAGGTTTCCCCTCTCCTGCCCATTCTAGACAAGCTTTGTTCACAGCAATGCTCTGTAATTACCATTGTAGCTTTGTTTTCCCTACCACTACCTCCACATTCTTAAAATGATTACTCCTGATGTGAATTTGTATATTCTTTACTGTATTTTTAGTTTACATTGTGAGCATGTCTGGATCAAAATCCTGTATTGTCCTCATGGTACCCTGCTTGAAATCATGTCATACACAAAGTACTCAATTTCAAAAAAATCTAATTCATTCCATCATTTATTACTACTGTTATCACTTTATTTTAAAGAATGGAATTAAGAATGCTTTATAGCTTCTTGGTACTTACCTAGGTCTAAAAAGTTAGGATTTTTTAATTAACAAGGAGCTGCTTCAAATAACCTAATGTTTCAAATTAAATTTTACTCACTTATTTTTGTGAGTGCCTTTTTATTTTGTACTGGAAGCACATACAATAAAATGCACAAATTCTAGTGTACAGCTCAATGAATTCTGACATGCTCATGTAACTACTGCCCAGATCAAAATATTAAACATTCTCAATAATTTTATTTTTTCGTTCTTCACCTATTTCACCCATACCCCCCACCATGGCAACCACCAGTCTGTTGTCTGTGTCTATGAGTCTATTTCTGTTTTGTTTGTTCGTTTTGTTTTAAATTCTGTATTATCAGTGAAACTATATGGCATCAAATAACTTTGAGATATTACAAAAAAACACTCAAGAGGAAGAAAAATCAAGACCTGAATGCCAAATTCCCATCACTTGGACTTCTTTGCTTTTTAATAATGAGTTTATATAACCTCTGGCATCCACTTATAATTTTTGTGGGGACCATGAGCCCCCTAAAATTGTTTGCCAACATTTATGTGTAAGTTCATTTTTTTGAGTAAAGGGTGCAAGGATTCTCACATTCTCAAAGGGGCACTTACCTGCAAAGGATTAAGGACCACTATTCTAAGGGGTGTAGAGCCTCCGGAGTGGGGTCTTTCAAGCCTGTTCCGGCGGCAGCAGAAAAACACCGCTGCTTTACTTTACACAAGGGAACTTACGCCCTGGGAGTACGGGAAAAAGGAATCAAGACAAGGGGACAGAAGGCCGACGCCGCAGGGGGAGGAGCCCTTAGAGATACGTAAACCAGTTAAAACCAAAAGGGAAGTTCGGGATTGGGGGCGGGGAGGTAGACGCAGAGCCGCTCAGGGCGCTGGAACGACCCTAATCTTGCCCGCTGCTGGGCCTTGCCGGGCCGTTAATCAGGAAGGAAGCAGTAGGAGCAATCGGATGTGGTGGGGCCTGTCTCCGCTCGCCCCAACACCACCGAGGACCGCAAGGAAGACGCCCTGGCTCTGGGCCAAGGCCAGACGCACCGGCCGGCCAGCGACCTACCTTCATAGGGTCGGCGAGGTATAGTTTCTCGGCCGCGCGACTGAACTCCTCCCAAGTCTGGTATTGCGGCATCGTGGGCCCGCGGCGGAAAGCGAGAGGAGGCAAGGCTGGGACCCGAGGCCGCACGACCCGGCCCACCCACCAACTCACCAACCCACCTAGCGCCTCACCTCACGGCCACCAACCCCAGCAGGGCCCACTACCCGAAGATGGTGGCGCCGCCGCGCACCAACAGCTCGTGCCATTGGGCGGCCGGGGCCACCCTCGCCCAATGAGAAGGAGGGATGTTGCTAAGTGGGCGGAGCCTGAGCTGTGCCCCCGGGAGTGGGCCCGGAGCAATAGAGCTCTGGGGGACAGATGGGAGGTCGCCACAGCGCCTTCTGCAGACCTGGAAGATCGGGAGGCCTGTCCGTCCGCCACCTGGGCTGCTCTGCAAGGACGCCCAGGTTCGTCGACAAAGCCCGAAACCCAGAGACGTTGGAGACAGCTGAATGGGGATGACAGGGTCCAGCTATCACCCACAGCCTAGAAAAGGAGGGGGTGGACATAAACACGGGAGTGCAAACGAAACTTGATGTGACAGACGTTCATGTCCGGCTAGAGGAGACTGGGGCCAGACACCTCGGCCAACTTCAGATCTGGGCAGTATTTACTGTGAGGGATGTTCAGAGCGTGGGGGGCAGAGAAACAGCAAGGGAACAAGTCAGTATAATCACTTATGCCAGGATAAGGAATTTGAACTTTGTTCTCCAGGCAATGGGGTAACAGGGGACATAGATGGGTATGTTTCTTAAATCAGGGTTACTGAGGTATATTTTACCTACAATATACATGCTGGTTTGAAGCATACAGGTTAATACATTTTGACATATATATGTCCCTATTAGGTATATACCCAATCAAGACATTGAACATTTCTTCATGGTCAATTTCTCCATCCCCACTCCCACCCCCAGACAATCACTGACCTACTTTCTGTTGTAGATTCGTTTATCTTGTGCACTGAAGAGCTTTAAGCAGATTTGCATCTTATAGGGCTCCAGCTGTACACCAAGACTGAACTGAGGTGGTTTGTGCAGCAATAAGGGCCTAATAGCTGTGGATCTGATTAGGGCACTAGCTTAGGAATCGGTGGAGGGTACAAAGTCACAATTCTTGAGAGTATGATGTGGGTTAGCAAGAGAGGAAAGCATAGTATGACTCCCAGATCAGTGGAGGTGGTGCCATTGACAGGAAGAGGAAGAACAGGTTTGGAAGATGGGAAAGGTGATGCTTTCAGTTCTGGACTTGCTGAGCTTGAAGTATCTGTGGGACATCAGATAGGACACAGAGCTATCTGATAGCTCAGTTGCATATCTCTATCAGAAACTCCAGGAAGGGTATGAAATAGGAGACTCCAGCAGACAGGTCTTAGTTGAGCCTTCCTGGGGAAAGGACAGCATAACATAAGACTAGGGACAGATCATAGGGAACAGCCACACGTGCAAAGGGTTTGAGTGAGGGAGCCAAGTCCACAAAGGAGGGAATTATTGGGGGATCAGAGGAGACCAGGAGTGTATGTGAAATGCGACGAGAAGAGGTTTGGGGAGGAGCAGGTAGTTATGTCAGATGGCAGTTAGGGCCCCAAGTGCAAGGAGTGGGAAATGACTCCGTTGATTTAGTCACCAGGAGGTTGTTGGTGACCTAGCCAGAGGAGCCTCAGTCAGACAGCATGGGTGGAACTGACCAAAATGCTGAAGTGGTGGGAGGGAGGAAGCACTGCTCTGTGTTCTCAGAGCCCAGGCCACGGACAGGATGGGGGACGTGAGATGGCCCAAACACAAAGGTGAAAAAAGGAATGCTGTTCTTTAATTTGTGCCTGTTTATAATGCTCAGAGAAAGGATCATGAAATAGGGAGGTTAAAGGTACAAGAGAGAGGAAAGCAAGGTCTCAGGAGAAACAAGGGGAGGACTGAAGACCCAGATGCCTGAAAAAAGGAGGCAGGTCACCACTGTCCTTGAGGGACGGGCCAGGGGGTGAGGACACAGGGAAGTATGGAGATAACAAGGGCAAGAAGGTAGATTTTCTTTGCTACCTGATGGGTAGGGCCGTCTTCTAAGACAGGAGGGCAAGAGTGGTCTTGCAGCTTTGAGAAGATTTGGAAAAGCCGTTGTAAGAAATGAGTAAGGAAGTCAGCCAGAAAGTCAAACAACATGTATCAAGAAATGTTCAATTTATCTGAGCATTATAAACAGCAGAACCAAAGGCCCAGATGGACTGCAGGTCACACTCTGGGGCAGAGAGCCCCAGTCTGCACATTTTAGGGTCTGTCTAGCACTACCCAGCCCCAGCCCGAGCCCCTAAAGAGAGAGATCAAGAGGAGAAGAGGTTAGGAGGCTTCCCTCGGTCATTCGGATGCATCCTTTAAACTAACTTGTTCTCTGCAGAGGTGGAGAGATGCTTCCGAAAGGCTGGCCCCTTGGAAATTGCTTATACACCACATGCTGAAAATGAAAAGTCCCTTTCATTCCTAGTCAAGAAGAGCAGGCAGGGCCTCTGTGGCCCTGTGGCTACGCGTTTGGTCCTTTCACATGCTTATCTCCTCTGAGCACTCAAATGGCCCTGCAAGGGGACGCCATGAGCCCTCGCCACAATTCTGAAAGACTCTGAAAAACAGTATCTCTGTAATGCCTTTGGTGGAAAACCTGACCTGACCCTTCATTAGGTTGTTTGCCATCTTTATTTGTTCCACTTGATGTGTTTGGTTATGTGGTGGGTCCTGGTCTCTGCTGGTGGTGTTACGTAGCATATGGCATGTGCAGCATACTAACTTTTCAGAATCCAACAAGCTCTGAATTACAGAACATGTGTGGCCCCAGGGATTTCGGATAAGGGATTACGGCGTATCCATTATAGTGATGAAGAAACCAAGCCTGAGAAATAAATTATACTAAGCCGATTGGTCCTGGACTTTGCTCCTGCAGATGTTAATCGTAACAGGGGGTTGTGTGATTATTTTTGATGTCTAGAAAATGTAGCTTCTCGGCAGTAGGGAAGCTGGGTTGGTGGAGCAGAGCCTGGGTGCAACGTCAAAGCCTTTGCTCTGTTGCCTCCAGTGATTGTTTTCATGTCCCCACCTCCCATTCATTCCCATTCCTACCACAGGGACTTCTCTCTGTCCCCTCCACCCCCAAAGCTGCCTCATGAAGTCACTGCTGCTCTCATAGGTCACGACTTAACTTCATGTTGCCTGATCAGCGGATGGCTCTCAATCCCTCGTTTCTCTGGAGGGCACTCTCCCTTGCTCCTCTTTCTTCCTGCCTGGCTCTCTACCAGCCTCCTTGGCACCCCCCAGTCCATCTGGTCCTTCATCCTTGGGTCCCAAGGAACCAGACTTCAGTTTCACCCTTGAGTGAGTGTTCTCCCTGGGGGAAATTCTTTGGGTTTTTGCTTCCACCCGCATGCTGTGTGACTCCTGGATTTCTGCTTGGGCCTTCCCTGAGCTTCAGATTCTCATATCCAAATACCTGCCAGGCTCTGGGCCACCCCAAGAGTTCAATTATGGGAGGTAAAACAAGTTTATCAGCAAACTGAAGCAATTTATGAGCAATAAATGTGATGCCTCCTTTTTCTACTTATTTTACCATTGCCATTGGCAAATTATTAGCTATTCATACTATATCTGACTGCCAGGAATTCAATAACCATGTACTGCAGACCAGTAATTGTGCTGGACCGAGTATTTCTATGCTACTGAGGTCAGGGGCAGAGATAATAAGGCGAAATCACAAATACCAATGATTGAAGACCGGAAATGTTCTGCAGTGAGGATGAGAGCAGTGCGTGCTTACTCTCCTGTCCCTTTGTCTTTGCCCAAAGGAGGAAGGTGGTGGTGTTTTTCAAGGTGAAGAAAAATGACTGATTGTTGTGAATTCTTCTGCTTAATACTTTTCACCCCTCTTAGTTTTCCTTGGTTGTCTTCTAAAGACTGTCAGAGCCATAGCTGTTCTGGGTAAGAGCAGGTGTAGGTTCTTAAAGGGGCTGTCATATTCATGTCATAATAACAGCCACAGTGCCTCTGCACACCAGGAACCCTGTGTCATTGCATTGATTTTCCCTTGTTATGTTTATGGAACCCACCATATGCCAGAGTCCAAGAAACTGCTGTTCTTTTTGTACCTTCCCAGGTTTCATGGATTCAGTGCACAGCAGTCAGGGTGAAGCAAATCTGGGAAGAGAAGTCAACCAAGAAACCGGTTTGCCCAGTAGTTGTGTCCCTAATGGGGAGGGCAGGAAACCTGAGGACGTCCTGCCAGGGACAGGGGCCTGGGGTAGCTTTGGCCCAGTGTCCAGCGGAGGGCAGTAGTGTGCAGACAGTCACACAGGGACGCCCCTGACTTCAGCCTCTCCTAAAGGAGAAGGTTGCCCAAGGAGCACACACTAGGTTAGTTGGGAAAGTGTTGGTGCATTGGGTTACGTTTGCTCAATCTCTACACTTCCTTTCTGGAGAGAGCCTCAGCTCTTACTTGACTGCCAGGAACTTCCAATCCAGTTTAAGTCACTGTTACTTATAACGAGGACGTCTGATGTATCTGTGTGGGGAAGTTGGGGTTCCTATGGCCAGGATCCTCACTGAACTTAAACCACCTGATGATGTAACTGGCCTGTTGCTGGGCCGCCGCTTCCACACCTGTAGGCAGTAAGCTATTATTACGCTATATAGAGAGCTCGGCCCAGTGCTCTGGGTGGAGGCAGAGATGCTAGTGCTCGATCTACCGCTGGAGAACAAGCCAGGTAAACCCTTTCACCCCGAGAATGTTTTGCTGTTGATTTATTTGGTCACAGTGAATCCATAGCGAACTTGCCCGGGGCTAAAACCCATTGGCAAGACAATCTGTCACCCTACCAGGTATGCCACAGGGAAACAAAGATGTGCACAAGAAGTTCACATGCTAATGAGGGCAGAGGAGGGTGCAGGGGTAAGGCAGCTTTACACATCATCAAACTTAAGGCAGAAATAAGCATTTGTGGAGCACCTACCACAGGCAGGGCACAGCGAACTGGGGATTCAATCAGGTTGAGGCATTCCCTGCCCTCCCAGTTGGAGGTGGGGGGGGGGCACAGGAGGTAAAGACCAGACAATATAAGGTGTGACTGAAGTACCCAAAACAGTTCTCCCTGGTGGTATGTGGGTGCAGCCCAGAGCTGACCTGACCCTCAGGGACCCACATCAAGCATTCCTGGATTCTTTGACCAGTCCTAGGGACTATAAAATTACCTTGAGGCTGGGGGCAGAGCCGGAAAGGAGGGAGAGGCAAAGGCAGAGAAAGAAAGCATCCTGAGTGGGGTCCGGGGAACCACCCCACCCCCCCAAGCCACACTGAGTGGGGCTCACAGACCAGAGAGTGTGTTAGCACCCTCTGCCCACACCCCCAAGGCATCCCCCAGGGCATCTTGGAGCTCCCTGAGGCTGTCTCTGGCTGCCCAGTGGCATCCTACTCCCAAAATGCTGGTATTTCCATACTTTGGGCAGGTCATGATCCCTTTAAGGTGAAACAGATTTAAACTGAATGAACACATCTCAAAAAATAACAGGGAAAGAAGCCTTGCTTTTTCCAAGGGTGTGATTGTGCCTTGGGGATCAGAAAGACCACCGTCAGTGCTGCCTCCTCTGGGGCAAGCTGGGTCAGGCCAAGTCAGACACTGCCCAGCCCTGCCACACTGTCCTGGAGGCCAGAGGCCAAGGCCCCTGGAGAGTCCCAAGGCTCCTGGCTTGTCAGTTTCATCTGAAACTGATTGAAATGAAATGCAAACCCAAGTAGCTGGGAAGAGGTTCAGAATTTTAGCCCTACCTGCTCCTGTTGTCCCTTGGTGGCACATTACTCCCTGGCCTGGGCCCACCGCTGCTCAGATTTCCACCTCCCCTGGGCAGCCCCAAACTGTCCATGAGCCCCAAAGAATGGCCCATTGTAAATGAGACAAACCAAAATAGCAGCATCTTCTGTTCTCTGGTCCCATTGCAAATGAGACAAACCAAAATAGCACCATCTTCTGTTCTCTGCTGTAAGAAGATACACTTACACCCCAAAGCCCCAGATGTGGATGACAATGGAAGCTGTTGTTGCAAATTAGTGATCCCAGGACACAGGAGAGGCAGGTAGGAAAGCAGCCAGCTCAGTGGGTTGGACTGTGGAGAGAGAACAATTACAAAGTTACTCCATTAACCCAATTAGCAATCACTGGCAGGAATTCTGTTAATCAGCAAAGCATGGTGGGGAAGGTGGGAGGAGACAAGCAACAGGAAGGGGAACCACAGGGGCTGAGAGGTAGGGAGTGGTGATTGAGGAAAGGGCTAGGAATAAAACTTAAGTTATTTCTAGGCTGGTAAATGCTATTTTTATCATTTTTTAAATGTCTGGAAATTTTTTAAAATCATGCCTTGGAGTTCTTGGATGAAGAGTGTTTGTGTTAATTAATAAATCAGATGACATCTCCACTCAGCAGCGGGCTCTGCCATGGAAACTCTGGGTGGCCTGGGAAGTGGTGACTATGGACTTCTGATTGATTACAGCTGTCATGTCCTTAGTCATTCAGCCCAACAGATCAGCCAACACGTCTGAGCGTCTACCTGGTACTCACTTGGTTTTGTGAAGGGAGGGGGAGTGGGCACAACACGAAAAAGGCCACATCTGGATGCCCAACCAGCTATAATGAGTGATATTTACAATCATGTTACAAAATTCTGCTGAGCAGAAAAGAGACAGGTTAATGAGGGGTGGGAATTAGGAAAAGAGGAGCAGGATTTTGAAGATAACGGTCAGTTTATGGTAGATGAATGGCCAGGGTATTGGATACAGAGAGGGTGGGCGCAAAGGCAGGGACTAGCTCTTGAGGGGACAGCACATTTGGATACTTCGAGATTAGTGCATAGATGCCTAAAATGACTAGTTGAGACTGAGGGGGTTGGAGTAGGCAGTGACAGCTGCAAACATGGTGAGTACGGTCCTGTCAACACCTTGTTGTGACTTTATCTTTTTTAGAGGCCACAGCTGGGGCTGCAGGAACTTGGGTGCCTTCATCAATAGGCAAAGGAGAAAGGGAAACCTACCAGGCACAGGGCACTGGGAGGACAGATGGAGAAGATGAGCCCAGCCCCAGGAGAATAATGCCTGGTAGGTGCCCACCCTGTCTCCTGCCCCACTCAGACCTGGGAACCACTGTCCCTCCAGGGCCCCCAACCTCTCACTACACTATCACTCTCAGCCCATGTCATTACACCCAGAGTCTCTCCTTTGCTCTCATTCCTTTCTCACCTTATCCAGCCTTCCAGGCACTGTGAAAGAGAAAAACAGTAAAACATGCAAAGCTTTTGTCTTCAGTACAAAGATGAGGTGTTGTATGTCCCCTGTGTTTGGCCACTGCAGGCTGGGTGTGTCTGGTTGTTCAAGGTCTTGGTAGGCTTTGCCACCCTCTAGGTCTGTCTTCAGGAAGCCTGGGATGGGGCGGGGGCATGCAGTGGCGGGTAGGCTCTGACCTTTGTAACCAAATACCTCAGACAGGATCATGCAGACAGTCCTGCTCAGTAAATATTTGCTGATGACCAGCATGATGACCTATGGAGATACTACCTCCTACCAAAGTTTTTAGGAAAACATTCTTCTTTATCATTAACCAGCAGTGCTTCTGTATCCCCAGAGATATCTCAGACTTATGGGTTGAACTCTATAAGACCATCATATGCATAGGGGTAAAGGTTGGGAAATATGTCCACCTTGGCTTCTGGGCCTCCTTTCCTCTGGGTACAAGTCACCAATGCCCTCACAGGCACAGCCTTCCTTCTTTCATTCCGTCTGAAACCACCAGGCTCCTGGAAGGCCTTCCCTCCCTCTCTGAGGCTGGGACTGTGTTTGTGTAGGAACTGAAAGCTATTGTAATAAGGCCTCTGCACCCACCACACAATGCCTGCCTGTTTGCAAAGCACCAGCCCTAAGTCACTCCAGTTTCATAACTGCTCAGCAAACTGCACCTGGTCCTTCTTCCCCTGTGGCTGCGAGGCTGGAGGCCAGTAGGTGGCCCCCGCTCACTCTGCTCCCTGCAGGTTGAGGGCCCTGAGCCATGTGGGTTTTGGAGGTTGACTCACCACTGTGCAGGGCTCTCTGGGCGTCCTCAGCAGGGAGCTCCTTTTGTCCAGGCAGGAGGAGACTACCAGGTCTCCGGCTCCCCTGGGGGCAAATATAGGACAACTGCTTTGGAAGGGCAGAGAAGTGTGGCTGGACAGTGGTATGGCACCCAGACAGCTTCCCAATGTCTCCTTGGGAGCCCCTGGCCCATCTCCCAGTTTTGCTCAGCCACAAGGCCTAGACTCAGCTCTCAGCAAGCCCAGACCTACATGGCGATGGAGCTCGCCCTGACCTTGGAGTTTCCAGTACAGGCACAAACAGGCCTTTAAAACCTCCTAACTTCCCAGGGTGAGGGTACAGTTGGGGCAAGTGATTGTTGATCACTGCTGTGTCATTTTCCGGTGCAGTTCCAGGTGGCTGGCACCGCCACCTCTCTATGGTCCGGATGCAGAAGCTAAGAGGGCTCAAAGGAGAGAGCTTTGAAGTTCCTGGCATTGAACTCCTGTGCCCTGTCTTGGTGTTGGGAAACCTTACAGCTGCTCTGGGCTAGCAGAGCCTTCTCTCGCTGACTTGGGGCTTTTTGGATCAGGGTGTTGGTGAAGCAGAGTTCTGGCAGGAGCCTTGCCAGCGGCTGCCAGGAGAAGGCAGAAGGGAGATAATTAGACCTAGTAATTGGTTTGCTTTTTAGTTTTTCACAGGCATTGGTGACCATGGCTGAGAAGAAGACACAGAAGAAAGTTGTCCCTCCAGTACCACAAGTAAACTGTCCCAATTCTGGGGTGAGCTTCTGGGCCTGGGCCAGGCCAACCCTATTTGTCCAGTCTTGCCTGGCACTTCTGTCTGACTGTGACAAGCCTGTGCACCCCACGCTACCCCAACAGAGCAGTGCAGGCTTACCCAACCTGCACCCGTGCCATGTGCTAAGCCTGGGACCAGGCATCTTAGAACTTTGAATCCAAGGGTAATCTGTAGAGGGAGTTACCCAACACTGGCTACTCCAAGAAGAGCTTCTGGAAGCCTGTCGCAAAAGACTTCATTAAAGGCTTTTGTTTCTGGGCAGAGCTGACTCATCATTTCCCCCAGAAAAGTTTGCTCTCTGGGAAGTTTCCAGACCCCCATCCTTACAGTTGGCCATTTTTCCAGACCAAATGTCTCATATTAGATCTCAATTTGCAACTTGCTACCCTTCGTGTGCACATGCTCTGGATTTGTCCCAGCCTGAGCAGCTGATTCACTTGGATGTTCTGCGAAGCTCTCACCGTTTGGTTCCATCTCAGCACATCAGCATGGAAGCTATGGGTCAGATTTCCAGTTTTGGTGGGGAGCCCAGAAGTGTCATCCTGGGAGATGGAGGTTGGATCTCAGACTGGGTCCCTAGGAGCTCTGTATCAGGTCCTGTGAGCTCATATTGTCTTTTGAAGGGCTGGTTACCCAAAGCCCATCCAAGGATGGACTACATTGGGATCAGTGATCTGTGTGTGTGGCTGTTTAATATCTTGGGTAAAAGCAAAGGAAAGAACTCATGATCAGTTTGGACTCTGAGGGTTTATGTTTAAACAGGATGGCCTTCCTCTGTATTCTTTTCTTCCAGCTGCCCACGCATCTATTCATAGTTATGTGCCAGACATTGTGCTTAAGCTCAGGACTGAGGATAAAAAGACAATCCTTGCCTTCAAGGGCCTTGCAGACTAACATCTGAGCTAGGCAGACACTGAGAACAAAGTAAGTGGGAGCTGATGTAATGCAGCCATCAAGGATTCAGACTTGGGCCAGGCCACCTAGACTCATGTTCCTGCTCGGCTGCTTACATGCAGTGCAACTTTGGGCACATTACTTAACCATTGCATGCCTCAGCTTCCAAATCTGTAGAATGAGGATATGATGACACCTACCTTAGTGTTTCAAGAGGATTAAATTAGTTAGTAGATTTAAACTTCTTGGAATTGTGCCAGGAACAGTGAGGAGGGTACACATTTGAGGTGTTTTGAAACCTGTAGCATCCACAGGACTAATTGTTGAGGAACTTAAGAGGGAAGCTGAGGTCACCTTTATGTAAATCCCAGGGTGCTGGGATCAGGTCATGTGCAGCCAGGAAAGCTGTACTGGAGCCTCGGGTCCACTTCAGTATATATATTTAATCTTAAATAAGTATTGCCTCAGTTGTGCCTTTGTAAAGTGGGAATAATAATTTCTCCCAATCCAGCCTCATTGGGAGAGGAACAGAAACCAACATTGGAATCTACTGTGTACCAGACAGCTTTATTCTGAAGACTGAGAGAAATAAGATACTTAAATGTGTTTATATTAAAAATATACATTGTAAACCATAAAGTATAGCATCATGTAATTGGGACCCTCTGGTCGCCCCACCCCGGGCCCACAGCCTGGAGAAGAGGCGTGATAGCAGGTACACTGTGACCCTGTTCTCCTGTGATGCACCGGTGTCTGTGCTATTTGCATCCTGTCCAGTAAAGTCCCAGGATACCATACGGGGCTGAGGCCCTCAAAAGGAGGACCAGGGAGCAGTGCAAAGCACAGGGTGGTGAGCTGAGCTACTTGGAGGAAGTCTTCTGAGGTATGACAGGAAGGGTGGAGCGCACACATGCCTAGTGCAGACCCGCTCCTCTGGGTCCTGAGCCCCAGCCCCAGGCCCTCAGCCCCAGCTCCCACAAGCTTGTCTGCAGCTCAGGGCTCCTGTGGAGCAGGCCCTGCATGAAGCATGAGCTTGTGCACATAGGTGGGTGAGGAGGCCTTGTATCCTCTGCTGAGGGAGAGGCCAAATGGGAAAGGGGGTCAGCCTGGAGTGTGCTGCCTGTCAGTTCTTGCCTCTGCTTGTCTCAGAGAGCTGGCCCGGCCAACTTTCAGAGCTGGCCAGCCACCAGGATTAAGGCCAGCTGGCCCAGCAGCTGTGTGTGGGGTTGTCCACACCAGAGCCCCTGTATCCAGGCCTGTTTGGGAGACTGGCCAGCACTAACGGGATTACCAGCTGATGCCCCAATATCTGCCAGGAAATTGTGAAATGGAATTCCAAAGACCCTACCACAGAGTCAGAGCTGTGTGGGATGACTCGGCTGGAAGCAGAACCCTTGGGGCACTGGTCCATTTCCTAGAGTTCCATTAGTCTCCATAGAACAGAAAGTCTGTCTCCAAGACAGGGCCTCAGGCTCCAGGAGCTTCTCTGCTCTCTGCCTGCTGCCTGTGGTCAAGGGAGGATAGGAGAGGTGGTGCCCCAGTGGGGTAGATGGGGGTGCCAGGACAGAAGGAAGGCCTGGCCTGCAGCCTGGAGCCAGTGATTGATTCCCTGGTGCTCTCCTCAGCCTTCCCCAGACCTCAGACAACCGTGGACTCAGGTCATAGAGCTGACCTCAGGACACCTGCATCCAGCCTCTCAGTGGAGGGAGGATCACGATCTTGAGCTTGTGTCCATGTCCTTGTTGGAGGGCCTGCTCAGTCCCTTAGCCACTCTGAGCCTTACTGGTCTCTGCTTATCTTGCAAAGTTCTGTGAGGATCAATGGATACAATGCATGTGGAAATTCTTTGTAAACTGTAAAGAGCTTTATACAGGAGGAAGTGCGCCAGTTGCAGAGGCTGAGATGCTGAGTGGAGTCTTTTAGGCCTGGCTTTCCAGCTATGCGAGGCTAACATTTCTCTGAAATTAAGAGCAGAGACCTTTCATTTCGACCTTCTTTCTGACTTTGTCAAATAGGAGCATCCTGGTCCTCATTGGTGGGCTGGGATCCTAGTGAAAAGGGGTTTGTACAAATCACAGAGCTGACTGATTTTCTTGTCAGGACAGGTGTACCTGTGACCCATAGCCACTGGCCTTCAGGACAGCATGGGGATTCTCCAGTCCAGGGACCACCTGCTTTTCAGCAGGATGTGTAAGCAGGGGTTTACAACACAACAGTGTCTACCTTTTAACAAGCAAGAGTGAGTAATCTATTTTAGATATTTAACAAAACCCAGACATTACCTCACTGGTGTCTTATCCAGGGCTGCTCCAGTCTTCCCATTAATTCCAGTGATTTGGGGCTGTTGGCCATGTTAAACTGTATAGGGAGAAATTCATAGACTTTTTCTCTGAGTAAAGGGATTCAGAGAACACACAAATTTGAGAAGACCCATTCTAGTATTTGTGGTCGAGTCTTTTCTTTCCTGAAGTAAATGTCTGTTTTCTTCTGAGAGCACAGTAGAGGCATTAACCCCATGCCCATCCCCCAAACCATCCTGGCTCTGATGGGGTTTCTCTGGCTCACCTCTTCCCCAAGGGATGAAAAGGGTTTTATCTGCAAACTTGAACTGGCTTCCCAGGGAAGCACTGGGACACCCGAGCAGCAGGCAGACCACCCTCTCCAAGGTGGATGGACAGAAGTGTCTGAGAGATGGTGGCTCAAGGCTTGCAGGCTTCGTAAGCTGCTGCTGGAGGTGCAGACTGAGCAGGCATCCCAGTCTCCCCCAGATGTGAAAGGCCTGCCTGCTTCCTGAAAAAGAATCTCTGAGAGGTCAGAGGTAGAATCACTGTGGGTCTTCTCAATTAGAAAGGACAGCTTTGGAACCCCAGGCCAGGCAATGGCACATGTGTGTTTTGCAGTAGCAAAATTGAGGCCCAATCAAAACATCCTATGCATCCCAAATCACTGCAAATTCCTGCTGTTATGAAGGTCTAACGCTTGATTTGTTAGGTGTCATCATGGCATGACTACATGAGAAGATGTCTGTTGTTGCAGAGATGCCTACTGAAGTACACGGGAATGAAAGGATATACAGTCAGGGCTTTGCTTTAAAATACTTCAGCAGGAATGTAAGAAAAAGAACTAGATAAAGCAAGTGGGAGAACACCTTGTGAGTGGCTGAGTCTGGGGAATGGGTAGCATAGGTTCATTTTACTGTTCTCTCAGCTTTTGTGGTTGAAGATTTTCATAATAAATAATTAAAGACATGATGAACTGAGTTAAAAGGCAAGCCATACAGATTGGGAGAAGATATTTAGAGCACATACTATGGACAAAGGATTCCTCTCCAAAATATATAAAGAGCTCCTACAAATCAGTTTAAAAACAAAAACAAAACCCATCAGCCCTATAGGAAAAAAAGGGCATAGATTAAAATAAACGGTCCCATTCCCAGGAGAAACTTGAATGGCCAATGTCCACACTCACTGGTGATCAGGAAAATGCATTTGGAACACACTCAGATGTCTATTACTGCATTGTTTATAATAGCTGAAGCCAGCAAAAGGTGGAGAAATAGTTCATGACATTCATCTAATGGCATGTTATATAGATGTTAAAATGAATGTATTTAGATATATATATTTGGATGATTCTACAAAACGTAATATCAATATTGAATGAAATAAAATTGCAAAAAGATGTGTATGTTGTTGGGGTATCATGATTGGTGCACATAGTGTGTGTGGGGTCACAGGAAAGAGCATAGCTCAGAGAAGATAAACAGGGACTCTGTCATCTTACTACACTGATGGACAGTGACTATAATGGGGCATGGGGGGGACTCGATAATAAGGGTGAATGTAATAACCACATTGTTTTTCTTAAGAAACCTTCATAAGAGTGTATATCAATGATATCTTTAAAAAAAGATATTTATGTTGTTATACCATGTATGTAAATAATTTAAAACACCTAACTTAAAGTTTTTGGCTCTTTCTCTGTATGTCATAAGAGTACAAAAATAATTAGAAGGCCCACAAGAGCCAAAGGAGTTGAATCTGTCATATCTCAGTTGTATCTGTAATGTTTGCTTTTTCTGTAGGAAAATGTAAAAAAAAAAAGTCTGAAGCAATTATATCAAAGGAGTGACATGTGCATGCCAGGTTGGTAGGTAGGGAGCATTTGCTGTATTGCTCTCTGTCACACTCTACATATTTCAAATATTTTGTAACTTAGAAAACAGTCTCTTAATTAAGGTCCTAAAGTCCCCGTGTCTAAAGCTCATCTTCTCTGTGACTTCAGAACCCTTCCACTCTGCTTCTACCTCTATGAAGACCATTCCCAAATCTCAGCTTCCGTCCTTTTGCTCCCCAGCATCATTTCTAGGCCTCATTTCTGTCTGGCCACTTAGTGGTTAATTCTTCCATCATCTAAAATTCGCCATCCACTTTGATTATCTCACCTCTGCTGTCTCCAAACAAGTCTTTTAATTCCCTGCCTGTGGACAGTGCCCTCAACAATGTTAGTTCTTATCATTAGTCCTTTCACCTTTCCCTGGGAACTCTCCCTACACAGAACTGCCAGTTTGTCTTCTTGAAAGTCTGTTTTTTTTTTTTTTCTGGACTCTTTTTTTCTTCCCTGAACCTGAAATGTTGTTTACACAAGTTATTCCCAAGCTCAAAACATTTCTGGCGGCCCCCTGCCAGCTCAAGAAGGCCCAATGCCTGAGCCATTTCTGTGTTACCTAGAAGTCTGCCGCCTGCCTCCTCCCGCAGCTTTGTAGCCCACTGGCTGCTGTCACTAGAAACACCCACACTTTCTTGGCTTCCTGCATTTTCAGTTCTGAAATGGTTTTAACTTAAGCTCAGATCAAACGCCTGCCCCACAGAGCCTCACCCAGCTCTGCCGTCCGCCCCATTCCTGGAGCAGGCTCCTAGCTGCTGCAGGGACAGGCAATGCTCTTTGGCAATGTGGGGCTCCATGCCTCCTACTTCCCTGCTCTCTGGGTCCCTCTCCATTACTACGGAGCTCCATTATTTGGCAGACCAGGGAAACAGAGGTAGATGAATAGCCGTGCTTATCCACATGGGGTCTCAGCCGTGTAAACAGTGAATCCATCTTTCCCATCCTTTCCTGTCTCCCGTTCTTGTGTGATATCAACTATACAGCAGGCTGGCCTCTCCTCAGACTTGCAAAGACTGTAGGGTGCTGTTCTGTGACTTATGGCAAGAGCCTGAAGAAAATGTGATTCCTCTAAGTATAATATTGTATCAGTTCTAAGATGCACATTTCTCCCCACATTTTAATGTCTCTGATATCAGGATGCACTTTACAGTTGGTGGAAATTTTTCTTTCTTTCTTGGTAGCATACAAAAATAAAAGTGCCTCTTATATTGATGATATCCATAATTTGATGAGATAAGATATATGGGAAGGTATTTAAGGTGCCTGTAAAATGCAAATAAACAGCTTTTACTATTTGATATGAATATTAACTATAAGTGTTAAAAACGAGGCTTCAGAAACTGTTCTGGGTA